CCCAGCCAGCCAATATTGCATTACCAACGGCCACTGTGGGCCTAAAGAACCCAAAGAACTCATTGTACAGCTTGGACTGGACTGGGCTGGGTCTAGGTCTCTTCTTCAGTTACGATTTCACTTTTGCTTGCTGCGTGCATAGTTTCGGGTGCTCATTCCACTGTGCGGACGGACAACTTCGGTGACAACATTTAGAAATTGAAACCTAAGCGACGCGAAAGCAGAGGCCAAAGAAAGCGCCACAAATGGCAATGGCAGAAGCAGCAGCAGCTGCAGCAGCGGCAGGGCTAAAGAATCGAATTGAATGGAAAATGGAAGGGAAAGGAAAGCAAAGGAAAGGCGCAGCAAAGAAAGCCCCCAATTGCATGGGCAGGGGCAATGGCTGGGGCAGTGACAGTGGCAGTGCCAGTTGTCAGGTTGGTTGTGACTGACTGGGTGGTGCCATCAGACAATGGGGTCTTGTCGTCTGCATGCTGGTCACGCACCTGTGAGTGCAAATAGGCCAAAGCCTTCAAGCACTGCTTGCAGACAGTGGCAATCTGCTCCTCATCCATGCGCGAATGGGTGACAATGTCGGTGAGGGCGCCGCCCTCCAGATACTCCATAACAACCCAGAGCTCATCGTTGACCAGAAAGCTGGAGTATGTCTCAACGATATTCGGATGATGGTAGTCCCGCATGATGACAACCTCATTGAAGAGCAGCTCGCGTCGTTGCTGCTTGCGCAGGTCCATTTTTTTCACGGCCACCTGGCGACCTGCACACAAACGAAATAACAAAAATCCATTTGGATGTCAATTAAATTATGAAGGAGTAGGAGGCGCCACACCCACCTGTGGACTTGTCGGTGGCTATGCAAACGGTGCCCGTTGAGCCTTCGCCAATCTTGTTGAAGTGATCAAGATTCTCCCGCGGATCGCCAGCGGAGACGACCATTTGGAGTGCGGCCCGAAATTGTTCGTGGGTCAGCCGCTGGTCCTGCTTGGGCTGCTGTTGCTGCTGGGCAGATGCCTGGGAAGCGGCCAGGGTAGCACTGCTGGCACCACCGCTCGAGCTGGAGGCTCGGGACGCCGACTTGGCATGATTATGTGCATGTGGATGTGGGTGCGGATGCGTCTGGGCGTGGCTATGCAAGGGATTCTGATTCTGGTCGCCCACGCCCATCGATTTGGGCTGATGCGCCTGCGAAGCGGGGGGATACAGTGGGAAGCCGGTGCTATTTCCGTTGTTCGTGTGGGAGTGGGTGGATCGCGTTCCGCTGGCCACCGAGCCCACTGGCGACGTCTGTTGCGGGATGGCACCCGGCGGTCCGACGCCTCCCATGGCTCGGTACTGCATATTCGTGCCCTGATCCGTTCGCACGGCCAGTGGACCGGTGGCCGCTCCATTGGCGTGCGCATTCTGACTGGAATAGAGCATTGGATGGCCCAGAGGCTGCTGGGGCTTGAAGCCCGTCGCTGGTGTTGGCGTTGTCGTCGCCGACGATGCCTCCTCCTCGGGCACGGAGGGCGGCACATTGGCCACGCGACGCACACGCGGCGGACTTGAGCTGCGCAGCGAATTGGAGCGTGCCACATGGGAGGTCTTGGGCAGGACAATGCCGGACGCGGTCATTGGATCCATCAAATGATGTTGCCCGCCGCCAGCACCCAGCATCCCCATCGAGCCGTGCACTACTCCGCCTGGAGTGCCCGGAATCGGCCCACCGCCGGGACCCCCAGCGGAGGCCATCATCATGGTGCTGCTGCTGTTTAGCGATGTGGTGTCCGCCTTGTTGTTGTTGTGATGTGGCCGCACAATCGTCTTGAGGTCGAGAATTTCTGTGGGCGTAATCTCCGAGGGATCGACCAGGGGCAGCGGCCGATTGGTGGACTTGAGGATCTGATTGTTGCCCACAATGGAGGCCCACTGGAGGGGGAGGCCCACATACTTGTTCTCCCGCTTATCGAATCCCGTGTGCACGCGATGCTCAAAATTGCTGGGCATCGAGATCAGGGGTTTCTTCTTCTTCTTGGTAAACATTTTCTAGGGAAATTTGCTGCTGTTGTTGCTGCTGATGTTGCTGCTGCTGCACACCGTTTAATAGTTTTTACTCTTTCCGTAGCCTTAGCGTTGACTTTTCTTTTACCGCCCTTTTACTGCCCGACGACCCGACAATGTCTCTCCAGCTCTCTCGCAGACGCACAAACACACACAATCACCGCAATCACTTCACACACACATGGCGCAGCGGATGCGATTCGGAATTACGGAATTCTCGAAACCTCTGGCTCTGACTGCCCCAAGGCACTGGTCAGCACATTTTTTGCGGCTTGGAGGCGCTCAAGTTACGGATATAAAAACACAAACACACGAAGAAACAAAAAAAAAATAAACCAAAGAAATTAAGGGCCGATGATGCCAGACCGATACTATTTTACAGATCCGGCAGCATTCGGCGTGGTAAGCTCTATCGATATTTTCAAGCCCTCAATTTTCTGTCGATATGTGCTATCGGAGAATCTCCACAAACTCTATCGAAGGACTTCCATCTCAATTGCACAAGCTGTGACATCCAGTGTTGGCAAATTAGCTTTTTTTCCCTTCGGCTTCAGATCTAGCAATTTTCAGTAAATTTTCCCATCAATCGGGCATCGGAAACATCGACAATCCCCTACACCTCATATAAATTTAAAAAACAGAAAACACAGATTTTCAGTTTTTTGTAGGTATATTCAGTGTTTTTTTTAATTATCATACCGCATATATTTACTTATTTACATTACGATACCGTTCCTTAAAACGAATTCTCTCCGATTTCAACAACTCAGTTTTTCCCGCGACTTACAAATGATCAATTAAAAATTATATTAAAATATTATAATTTTTTCCATATGTATGTATATATGCATGTGTATGTATGCTATATAAAACATGCTCATAATCATCATAACTGTTTCTTCTGCTCACTATTTTCGCCACTTTGCAACTAGACCCCCTCTCTCTCTCTCTCTCTCTTTAAACGGTTCTCTTAATTTTCCTTATCGGTAGCTATAGGTTTTTTGTTTCGCTTAATTTACGTTTCTAAATAGTTTCTGTTTTCTGTATTTTGTTGGTTTACTGCTGTTGTGGCTGTTGCTGTTCTGTATAGACAATTCGTTCAGCGAATTCCATTTTATAAATCTAAAAATGAAGAACAAAAGCTAATACAAAACTAGCAATGCGGTTCTGTTCTCTTTCCTTTCCACTGCTTCAAACAAATGTGTAGTAAGCAGAATATGGTCTCACGATCGATGTTATATATACATGCATAGAAGATATACACATATTTATATTTAAATCAACAAAAAAAAATGAGCAAAAAATGTATCCATAACAAACTAGAAAAGAGACACGATAGCTGCTTGATGATAGGGTCCGTGCTCATAAAACCAACATATTAACTTAACTTAAACAAATTTTGTGTGCACGTGTGTGTGTGTGTGTTTTAGAGAGAGGACTACGAAAAATGCATCAGCATCTGCTTCTGGTTACCAGTTACCGTAACTGTTGTAAGCGTGACTGCGTGTCTCGTCATCCTCCAGCGATCCTTTACGGCTGCTGTGTTTCAGTCAGGGGTGCTATTGCTTCATTGTTGCTTCGGCGTCGCACCAGTTTGTAGCGGCTGCGCAGAACATGGGGCACCGAGACGGAACCTACTCCTGTTCCTGTTCCAGTTCCCGTTCCTGCTCCCTCGATATCGTTGTAGCGCTGCCGGTAGCTGATTCTCTTTATGCCACCTCCTCTGTGGCTTCTGTTGCTCATGATGGTGTTGACTCTGCTGCGTGTATTGCGCTTGCTGTGCAACACTCCGAATCGTTTCTGTCTGGTCAGCTTGGCGGCTGCCGTGTTTAACATGGGGGTTGTGGTTTCTCCATCCGGTATGGTGGCGGTTCCAGCCGTAGAGGCGCAGGTGGAGGTGGTATCCGTGACGCTGCGGACGAAACGATATTTGGAAACGTGGGGGAACTGCTGCTGGGTTCGGTCGTGAAGGTGCGGACTCCGTCTGTGGGGACCAACAGATGATGCCTCGAAAGGTATGTCACTGCTTTCGTTGTCCGTCACAAGCTCCTCCTCTGCCTCGAACTCGTCATCCTCCTGCGGCACCTGTCCGGTTTGCCTTATGTCTTCTAGTTGCAATCCCATTCGTTGTGCTTGTGGCTGTTCGTGTTCTTTAATCATGTGGTTGTAAACGAGTCCTCCACCTACAGCGATGGCGGGGACGGCGGCGGCAGCCTCAGTAGATGTTGTTTCGGAGGCCTGCGATGCCACTTCTACCGTGGCGGCAAACGGCGCACAGGGGTGCGAATCTTGCGGCGCACCATCTGTGAATTCTGGGCGGCGTTGCCAGCTGGAGGTGGATTGAAGCTGTGAATGTAACGAAAAAAACGAATCCCCGGTTAGTGTATGTGGGTGTGACTGAAATCGGAACTAGTTCCGGCACTTGCAGCACGCGGCGGCTGCGGAGCGAGTATGAGTTTCAAATCTTGCGGCCTTTAAACAGGATCAGAAAATTGGCGGTTACAGACACGTAAAATGTTAACGTAATGAAAGAATGTGAACATTGTGAAATGTTGCAACATTAAGATGTTTTATGCTGTGTTTGGTAATTTGTTGTGTTATTGCTTGTTCTTTTTGTTTTTGCTTTTATGTTAACAAACATACATACATAATACATACATACATAACATAACACAACAACAAATATCTTTACAAATTAGTTGTGTAAATGCAATAAAACTGTGAATGGTGCATCTGTGTAGCTGTATAGCTGTGTGTGTGTGTCTGTATGTGTGGGTGTTTGTGTGGGTGATTTGGCCAATCATCTTGGGAATTATTGCAATAGACAGAGAGAGAGAGAGAAATAATAATTAAACGATTCTCTCTCTTTCCTAATCGTTTTCCACTCAGTACTTGTATCTACAGCTCGCTCACGCAGCTTTGGCAAGTGCGTACTCCCTTCATACTCTTTCTCCTTTACTTACGCGAACATATTGGCTGGCGCTGGAGCACCGGCACTAAATTGGAACGGTGCGTTGGCATTTGGCGTTGACTGCAAACAAAAAATAAAAAAAGTGTTTCGATTTTGTTTTTCCTTTTTGTTGGTTTTTGTTGTAAATTTGTCTTTTGTTTAAAGCAAAGAAAAAAATTATTTTTGTTGTTCATGATGAGTAGATGAACGAGGGGCTGGTGGGGTTGGTCAGTGGCGTAGTGCATTTAAAAAATACTTTCTCAAATAAAAAGTGACGGGCAGAATGTTGAATGAGAATGTTCGCACATGTCGTGGGTGTGTGTCGGGTGTCGAGAGGATGTGCAGTGTGTATGAGTGTGAAGAATGTTCGTTTATTTGAGTGTCACAAGTTTGTTTGTTTGTGTTTGTGTGTGGGATTAGAGGTCACACATTTAGGGCTGTCCAAAAATGGTGTATAAACTGCATGCATTTATCAGTTCCTGTACAGTTGTCATGTACAGTTACTTTTCAAACATTTCAGCGAGTTCCACTAACCCAAGACCCCACTGATATACGGTTTTCAAGCACAGCAGCAGCAATACATAAGCATTTGATCGTTAGCTACAAACATACATACATATGTACATACTTTGTAAAGGCAACGCTGATAATGTTAAATGTGAATGATAATGCTAATGTTAGTGGTAATGTTAATGTTAATGCTACTGTTAATGTTTATGAAATGTAAAAGGGGGGCCATGAAACAACTAAATCTAATACTTTTCTTCTAAAATACATATACATATACAATACTCGTGTATTAAATGTGCGCATAGCATAGGTGGTACAAAAATCATTATCGGTTTGGCTTTCGAATCATTTTGTCAGCCTAGCCATCATTTTGGTTTACCTGCATCTGCATTTGCGGCGGCGATGTGGCGGTAAAATTGAACATTGGCGAACCACTTGCGCCACCAGCACCGAGCCCGGTAGCTATGCCAGGAGCAGAAGCAGCAGCAGGAGCAGCACCGAACTGGAAGACACGCTGCTTCGATGCCGTGCCACAAATGCCATTAACATTTTTTCGATTTTTTTGTCGTTTCAGTGGGGATTAGTAGGATGGATAGTTGATTGATTGATTTTATTTGATTTTGTGTGCCCGTGCCCCATAGCGGTAATACAGTACAGGGGGGATACAGGTAGGGTACAGTGTGTACATAGGAGTAATACATATATGGAGTACGTTTTTTGTTTTTTAGTTATTATTTTTGATTTTGTTGTTTTGGTTTTTTTTTTTTGCAAAAGAACACACATACACACACAACAGCGACAACATGAAGATTATTGATTGATATCGGTTGGTTTTTGTGTTGTTGTTGTTGTTGAAAATAGAAAGGAGAAAGAAAAAAAAGAGAAGAATAAATATAAAATACAAATAAATATATATGTATATATAAATATAAACAAGGACAAAGAAATAAATCAAATACATAGAGTGTGGTGTAATCAGTAAATCTAAATTTTAATGGGTGGGGGGAATAAGGGTAGAGGGTATCATGCACAGAAAGTACAAATAGTATCAGCACCATCGCTATAAGCTCTTAAAAAATTGCCTACTGATTGATACATTTATGTAAATGGTAAGAGTAATACGTATTAAGTGGGGTAAAGGTTTCAGTTCGTGTCAGAAAATGATGGGTCTCTGCGCAAAGATATGAAGGATACTTACATCGCCCGATGCAAGGGAATTTGCAGTCGCCGAACCGGCGGAAAAGTTAAAGGCCGGCGTCGCCTGTGGTGTAGCGGCTGCGGCAGACACCGAAACCGAGCCCGTAAAATTAAAGGCCAGCTTAGAGGATGTCTCTTTGCCCCCGGTATCGCCGCCCCCGCCGCCACCAAAGTTGAAAGGTCCTGGTGCAGATGTGGTCGTCTGCAGAGATGATCAGTTATGGAATGCAAGATGATGGATCGCTGTCAGTTGCGATTCTGAAATTTACTTACCGACTGGGAAAGAGCCGGTGGGCCTCCAAAGTTAAATGCTGGCTTTGCAGCTGTTCCAGTGCTTCCGAATCCTCCTCCTCCTCCTCCATTGCTGCCACCAAAGACAGGCGTGATGGCATTGTTGAATATAGAAGCCTGGCCACCGGATGCAGGCGCAGGCGAAGATTGGGGTGCCATTGAGTTACCCACAAAGCCGAAGCCCGTAGTGGGGAGTGCTCCATTACCGCCAAAAGCTGAAGACGCTGCCGCAGTTGGTGCTGGCGTACTGGCGGCCGTTGTACTGCCGAAGCCAGTACCAAATCCACTACCGAAAACAGAGCTGCCAGACACCACCGTCGGGAGGCTGGTGTTGGTGTTGGTGCTGCTGTCGGTGGCGGTGGTCGGTGCTACGCTGCCATTGCTGGGTATGGAGCCAGCGCTAGCACTGGCGCTGGGCCAGCCAAAGCTTACGGGCTTTGTCAAGCTGTTTGCGGGTGCACCCGATGCCGCTCTCTTCTCTCCAAATCCGAACGTCACTGGAGTTGGAGCTGCCGCTGAAGCTAGAGCTGCAGTGGTGGTGGTGGTGCTGCTGCTGAAGCTAATGGACGTGCTGTTGTTGTTGCCCGAGGCTACTGAAGTTACTGCTGCACCAAAGATGAAGCCCGTCGCACTTGAGCTTGGCGCTGCCGTCGAAGTCGGAGTCTGGCCAAAGAAGAAGGCGTTGGTGTTGCTGCTAGGTGCAGCTTTTGTTGTGGAGCTAGCTGAAGATAGACTGCCAAAGCTGAACAAACCTACCGCTGGCGCAGGCGCAGCGGCAGCTAATGCTGGAGCTGGAGCTGGAGTGGCAGCAAAAGATGTGCTAGTTGTTGTGGCAGATCCAAAGAAGCCCACAGATGCCGTCGTCACCGTCGTGCTGCTGCTTACACCGCTGGGCGTGGTGGCGGGTGCGCTGAAGCTAAACATGGGCTTCACGTTGGAGCTAATCACGCTGGTGACGCTAGAGTTGCTGCCCGAAGTATGCGTCGAACTGGACACAGCTGATGAGGATGAGGGTAATGCTGATGGAGTACCAAAGCTGAACCCTTGACTCGTGACAGTGGTGGTGGCGCTTACGCCGGGGGCAGCTGCAGCGGTAGCGGCAGGGATGGAAGTGTCACTGCTGGAGGACAGCACTGTCGATGTGGTGGTGGGAGCTCTGAATGAAAATTGGCTAGCGGTGGCCGCTGCTGCTGTTTCGATACCCGTGGTGGATGTAGCCTTAGTGGCTGTTGGCATTGTAGCCCTTAGATCGATTGACTTTGGCTCCTCCTGGCTGGCGGTGACGGTGGCTGCTGGAGCTGGATCTGGGGCTGGGGCTCCGAACTTGAATCCTCCCATCGAAGCGTTATTGCTGTCTGCCACATCCTTGCTCTGACCGAAGCCAAAGGAGAACTGTGGCGCAGCGTTTGACGTTGACAGGACTGCAGCTGGCAGCACTGGCATTACCGGCAGCACTGGCTGGACTGGTGCTGTTTCTTTTGCTTTTGGTACAAACCCGAACGTGAACGTAGGCACTGGGTGAGTGGCATTGAATGAGGATTTGCAGTTGTCGTCGCTACCCGGCCTCAGTTGCTCACAGCAGCAGCACTTGGAGAGCGCCTGATCGTTCATGGCCATGCATGTCTCGCACTCCCAATTAGCTGCCTTCTGGGCAGCCACCAGATTCTGGAAACCGACATCCTGTTTGACTCCTGCCAGCTGCTGCTGCTGCTGTTTCTGTTGCTCTGGGGTGAAGCCAAACTTGAAGCTGGTGTTAATGGTGCTGCTGGTGCTCGAAGAGACATTGGTTGGAGGATTACTTGTTGAGGAGCTCGAGCTGGACTCGCTGCTGGCGGCACTGGGATTGCGCGACTGGCAGGCGACGCACTCGACGGCACTCGTCTGATTCATCACCAGGCATGTCTGGCACTCCCAGGTGTTGGCCTTGGGCCTGAACGCCTGCCCAAACCCTGAACTCGAACTGGATGTTGAGAAGCCCGATCCGGAGCCAGAGCCGAAGCCGCCCCCCGGACTGTTTGTAATTGAGAAACAGTCGGTGGTTGTCTTGCTGGCGGCTGCTGCAGCTCCCTGGCGCGGTGTCTCGCAGGCCACGCACTTGCTATTCTCGTTCTTGTTGGACACCATGCACGTGTCGCACTCCCAGGCACTCGATGACTTCTTGAAACGATCTCCGAATCCGCTGCTGGCAACAGAGAATGGGACTGCAGTTGGAGTTGAAGTCGGAGTTGCCGCTGCATCTGCTTGAGTAGCCTTGGAAGGCTTTGGCGTCTCGCATGCTGCACACTTCACTAGCTCTGATCTATTTCGGATCATGCACACATCACACTCCCATTCAGTGGCTGATTTTCTAAACTGCTGGCTAAAGCCGCCTTCCACTGGGTTGCTGCTGCTTGGATTATGCGCTGCTGCAACGGTGGAGGGTCCGTTCATGATTGGCAGCGACTGCTGTTGCCTCTCCAATGTCGATGGCGCTGGAAACGAGAAATTGCGTGTGCTCCTCAATTGGTCTGCAGCACTTGCAGTTTCCCCTCGTATGGGTATGGGCTCACCAAAGCTGTAGCTACGTTCTGAAACGCCTGATGCGCCGCCAGTCAGCAAGCCGGAACTGACACTGACACTGCCACTTCCACTGAAATTGGCTATAGTTGTGGCTGTAGCTGTTGTTGTTGGTGCAGCTGTTGCTGTTGCACCCACAAAGTTAACCGCAGGCATTGGGAATGCTGGTTGGGGCTTGGGGCGTATCTGTAGATCCTCCGTTGTGTTTGCCGCCACTGATGGCAGTGTCGCAGGTGTCGACGGCGGCGGTGGCTTGATGACCAAATCAAATGTCGGTGTATTTGCCATGGCCGGGAAGTTGATAATCGGCAAGTCGAGTGGCTCGGGTGCCAGTTCGGTGTCTTCGCGGGGCTCCTTGCGCGCCGACTGGTGACTCAGTCGGGAACGCATCTTGTTCGTGTGACTATTATTGGGCGATTGGCGGGCTGGCAGAGCCGCCAGGGCCATTGTGGTTGACCCTCCGGACGATGGTGCCTTTGGCACCTTTGGCGTGACCAATTTCTTCCAGTTTTTGCTGACACGATGCAGGCGACGCTTTTCGAGTACGTGCTGCATCGTTGGAGCCAGAAGACTTTGTGGCGTCGACTGCTGCTGCAGCTGTTCTGTGTGCGAAATAAAATGATTGGGATTGCTGGAGCCACGCTGCAGCCGCTGGTTGCTATTTGCCTGCTGCTGCTGCTTCTGCTGCTCCTTCAGTGTGTTTCCGAGCCGCTTGACATCAATTAGTGGCGTGGAGTAGCTCTCCAGCAGGCTAAGGATGCGACTTGTGGTGCTCGAGAGGGCGATGCTGTCCACGGCCGATGTGGTTGGCTGACTCTCTGTTAGCTGGCTGGGTCGCATGGCCAATGGCTTCATGCCGTAGGCGGTTTTGCCGGACGCAGCCTGATGAGCGGCCGGCGAACTGCCGCCCGAGTTCATGGCCAACGAAGAGGAGGAACCGCCAGCGCCACCGCCTGAGCCAGCACCCTGGCCGAAGATTCGATTGTGTGCTGAATTGCCGCCGAATGTGGTCTGACCCTTGTAGAAGGGCGAAATTGTTGTTGAACCGGAGCCACAGGCCGAAGCGGAAGCACTGCGTGTCAACAGGCGGCTGTCGCTCAAGGCCGAGGAGCTGCCATAGATGGAGGCATTGAAGCGCTTCCGCCTATTTAGCGCATTCAGTGAACACGTAGAATTAAATATTGACTTGGCGCTCTGCAAATTCCCATAGAACGATAGATTACTGTTGCTGTTGTGACAGTAGGGATAGGAATCGGCTGTCTCCACTACCTCTGGATATTCATGCAGTTCACTCTCCAAATCTCCAGTTGCAGCTGTTGTTGTGGCGGCACCTCTCTTCGATTTGATAATGTTGTTGTTGTTGTTGCTGATATTATTATTGGACTTGCAGATATTCAGGAGCCGCTCAATCCGCTCATTCTCCGACTGTGCCGCATCGATGGATGTGTCACGGCCCGTGGCAGCCTGCCCCACCAGCAGAGAAGGTCTCTTGTGGTTGGCCAATGGCACGGCGGTTTGAGTTTGTCCAAAGCTGAAGCTGCGACCGCGTGGTGAATCTATGACTGGGATGTTCAGCGATCGACGTATACTGCAACGGGGTAGTAAAGAGGAATAGTTGCAAAGTTATGACATTGGACAACAGGTGACAGTGGTTTGGATTGGGTCACAGGGGTCAGGTCGCAGAAGCATGCTCACCTGACTGGCAGATCTCCTGTTGTGGCCTCGGCGGCCGTCTCGTTGCCCGCAAAGAAATTGTAGCCCGGCTCACGCTGCTGGCGCTGCTGGTGATAGAGGTTTAAGTGGGTGCGTCGATGCGGGGCCACGCCACTCGGGTCCAAGCCACGGCTACGACTGCGTGTTCCTCCCACTGCCTGAGAGTTTCCTGAGGTGAATTGTTGGCCGCCTGAAGCGGCAGCGGCAGCTGCGGGCGTAGAGGAAACCAGTGGCAATGGCATTCTCCGCATACTTGGCAAATTGACGCTTGTCTCCAGCTGCAAAATCATTTCAGATTATGATTAGAATGTAAGAAATTGGTAGGGTCTTTACACTCACTTCTATACGTCGTCGCTTAGTCGGGACAGAGACAGACGCATCTGCTGGACCATCGTCCTCGTCCTCCTCCTCGTCATCTTCGTCTCCATCTGCCACATCGTCGTCATCGTCATCAAAGTCATCATCGGCGGCAATTATCGCAGCGCGCCGTTTGCGTAAGGGGAACACATTGTATTCGCTGCGTCGCGTCTGCTCATCTTCGGCGACCAAGTCATGCTCGGCTATGTTGTCGGCCAGGGCCACCTCCTCGTAGTCCAGACCACGTGCAGCGGCACCATCATCCACATCGGGTAGCAGGCCCCCAGCGGGTGAGTCCTCGCCATCTGGTTCGGCCAGCTCTATGCAGCGGCGTCTACGTTTCCTTCTCGTTAGAGACGTTGCTCCGGTTTCAGTACCATTCTGTTGCTGCTGTTGTTGTTGTTGCTCCTCTTGGGCCTCCGAGGCCGCCTTGGATGTTGGCGAGAACCAGGTTGGCAGGATATTTGAAACGCGCAGCTTCACCCTTCCCATGATAGACTGAAACGAGTCGGAGCATTTCCAGCATTATAAATTTCGCGCGAATTTCGATCTCCGACTTCCCGAACTGTAACTGTACTTACTTTGCGGGAGACGAGGGCTATGCCGGCAGCAGAATCATCTTCGGCCGCCTCCTCGGCCTCGGTCGCCTCCATTAGCGGCGTGAGCGGATGCTGTGTGCTCGATCCCGCACTTAATGTCGTGGCTTGGTGTCGCTGCAGCTGCAGTTGCCTTTTTGTTTGGCTATTTTTGTGTGGCCTATCCTCAAACTCTGACATTATTGGATTTTAAGCCGGCGATGAAACGGCACGGGCACACAAAATGAAAACTAACCAAAAAGAAACGAACACACGCACACACACACACACACACACACGCAAGCGCGCAAAACAACAATAAAAAAAGAAATAGAAACGGAACACACTGTTGCAATCCTGTGTGAGTGTTCTCAATGTGTGTGTGTTACGCACGCCGTATCGCTGTGTTGGTGTTCTGTCGCCGAGATTCCACACACGCGGCGAATTTTGTTCGTTTTTTTTTACTTTTTTTTCTCGATCTTTTTTGTGTCTTTGCACTTTGGCGCCAGAAAGTGCATCAGCTCTTAGCGCATTTATTTATTTATCCATCACACGGTAAATATATGTATATTACTCTGCAAGCACAAGAGACGCGGTAAAATGAGAGTCACATCGGCATTATAAATGGTAAAGAAAATTGTGTACAGTGTACATATATGTGTGTGCGTATGTATGTATTAAATTGCTCGTTTTTCACGTCTCTGATCAAATGAGGATTATGTTTATTACGGATTCAATTTCGCGAGTGAACCAAATATGGGCAAAACGGGCGGGGGGTTCTTTTTTTCACAAATATTATTTCCTTTTTTTTTAGCTTGGCGGTGGACGCTGCCTGTCGACTGCTGTTGCTTTGATGCCGTGTCAACTTGGATCCACGCTTAGCGCTGTTCCGGATAACACACTAACCACAGGCCGCCGCCTGCCTGTTTGATTTTTTGTTCTACTAATGCTGGCCTGGTCGTTTTTATCGCTTCGTTTTTTCGTCTTCTTGTTTCTTTTCTTTTGCAATTCTTCTTTTATACACCACACACACAAACATACACAGACACACACATGGGCGCGCGAGATACCCAGTTCGCCTGCAAGCAAACGCACTCATTTGGTTTTAAAAGGCTCGAGTTGAACAGCCAGAGACTGAACGCGTAGCCTGCAATTCTCAAATCATGTTAGCTGCACGCATTGCCGATCGGATTTGTGTCGCAAAACATATTAGTGAGTAATTTTTACAAAAGAAATGAACAATTCACAAAAAAGCACGATTTGGGAAAAACGCGTGTAGCTAAATGGGCGAGTAGCAGCAGCTCATGCACAAGCAACGAGTCGAACGAGCGACGAGTAGGCGATTATATCGCGCTAGTGTATTTTTACATATCGATAGGCGGTTGAACGGCTATGAGCCGTAAATCTATTTTCAAAATACATATATATATATGGGATGGGACCGCCAAATTCTTTCCATAATCGCACAAAAATATCGTTTTTTCGTACTCTTAGCTGGTTTTATAACTAGATCTTAAGCCTTCTAAATTAATTAAAATCTCAGTCATTTCATTCCCAATATTTGTCTCAGCAAGGCTATATGATATATTTAGCTCTGGCTTGGTGCCACTATCCAGAACTATTTAAAAAAAAAATAGCATCGGAAACACCACAATGTTCTCACATTCAATAACCACTACGTTTTTAGGGTATAAAAATGGCCGATCGGTTGACAAGCCAAAAGTGGTCAAATGATGCAACATTCTATTTCAACTGCGTTACATTATTACGTTGTAGTGTTTACTTACTTAGTGAGAGCACATATTTTGTAGACAAACCAATAGAAGTAAGTCATACAAACTAGACAATCTTAGGACGAATTGATTAGTTAGTTGCATAAAATTACAGTTTCAATAATGAGAGTCTTAAAGAGCTGCCAACATCAAATGGAATATGAAAATCGACAAAAATTATTAACGATTCGTTATATTGACAGTATGGTAAATACTGTATATAATAGGTATATAATACTTATCAGGATATTTTAACTTCATTGTATATTTACGGTATATGCCAACATAATTTGTATGGACTAGCAGCATGCTGCGAAAAGTGAGCGGCACTGTTCTCCAACATTTTTCACGGAATACGCAACATTTAGTACCCTTGGAGGGATGGATATTCTCGAATTGGAGAAATTTTGGAAAGCTCTGGCTCTAATCAATGCAATAAAAAGTCAATCTTTAGATCAATATAAACATTCAACAACAAAAGGAAGTCGTGAAAACTAGCCCATCTTGTTAAGGGCTGATTAATAAATCTTATAAAATTATAGTTTTAGCTCGGAGACTCCTAACTAGCTAGCTATATCATATAGAACACGAAAATCGAGGAAAATTATTTAAGATGTACGGATATTTACGTATATTTTCAAAATGAAGGGGATATTTCGGAATATTTCCGAGGGTGTGTCAGTATATTTTATCGATAATTCCGTGATCACACTGGTCACACTGCTAGCACGGACAAAAAAAAGTTTTATTTATTGGCAATTTCCAGGACACAATTTATAATTTATTGAATAGGACGTAAATAGAAAGAGTGCAGTTCTCAAACGCAGCGCAGCGTGCAGTGCGGAGCGTTTCGAATCCGATTTCAGTTACGAGTGTGTGTCCCGTCCCCACAGCAAACCCACAGCACAGTCGCGGCACCATGAGCGTGTTGGCGTATCCACGTACAAACGATGAGGAGATTTTTCGTCACTGCACAAAGGATTGTGGCGTCGTTACGGCCACGGAGGACTTCCAGTATTTCGCCCTGCGCTGCATATTTTGCAGCGAAAAGTTTCTTTACTTTGATTCATTCATTAGCCACATGCAAACGGTGCACCTGGGAACCGAGGGGCACATACCACCCACACCCAGCCTCACCCTCAGCTTCGGTGAGCCCATGTCCTTGTCGATGGACGAGGATGCCCTGCACGAGGGCATCCAACATAGAAATGGCCACCACTTTGACGAGATCGAAGACTTGACCGATGCGGACACAGCTCTGCTAGAGCCACAAATGGTCATCAAACAGGAGCTGCCCGAGCCCCCGTTTAGCGACGACGACGACGACGGTGATCCCGAGCACGATGATGATGACGATGATGTGCTCCGTTTGCCCGCAGACGAAGACGACTCGGAGGCCATTGACGACGAAGAGGCCATCCTGCCCGAGAGCGATATGCCCTCAATCATACCGAGACCTCGTCCCCGCATGAAGGTGACCAAGCCGCGTGTGGATGTCAAAAATGAACCAATCACCGCCGACGGTGACTCGTCGATGGATGAGTATGGCGACCACGATCCGAGCTACATGGGCGACAATGATCATGACAATTCAGGCGAATACTTGGACTACAGCGGCGGCAGCAGCAGCTTCAATGCGGCACCCAATCACACCTTCCCCGGCAACGAATCAACTGATTTTCTCAGCTACGACGAGATGGTCGAGGAGTCCCTGCTGGGGGTACGTTTATCATGCACTATAAACTGACTCGCTCCCTCCTCCTTACTTGATTCTATTAATTATTACGCAGCGGGATCGTGAGCTGACGATGCACATCAAGGATCGAAAGATGATCCAATTTCTCATACAATCATATCAGCGCAATCCTTTCCTATGGGACCACAGTGACGCTCAGTTCCGTGATCGGGTGAAGCGGGCCCGCTTCCTCGATTGGATTGTGCTCGAGTTTCAGGGGCGTTTCAATATCTCCCTGGCCAAGGATGCCATCACCAGGAAGTGGGACAATCTGCGCACCGTCTACAAGCGCGAATGCAATCGAATGGCCCTCGAGAAGACAAACATCAGTACGCTGTGGTACTTCAAGGAGCTGCACTTCCTCAACGAGGTCTACAGCTACAATTCCAAAATGTCTGATGCTGTTGTCAAGGTGAGTGTGGATCCAACTTCCATTCCGCTCCTGTGTCTCCGCTCTTTGCTATAAACAATATTCATTATAAATAACTAAAAATCGTCCCCATTCCCATGCCCTTTCCTTTCCGTTTATGTCTGTCTCTCTCTCTCTTTTTTTGTTGTTCTTAGGAAACATCATACCGTCGGCGATTTTCAGCAATTTGGAACGACACATCGACTGCGAAATTGCTGAGCATGGTGAAGCGGTATCAGTGCTTCTATAATCGCTTCGATCCGGACTACCGCAGCAAGGAGCGTCGCGGCGAGGGTCTGCACCAGATGGCCATCGAGCTGCAGCAGCTGATCGATGTGAGCACCATACAGATCTCGAAGCGTATTTCGCAGCTGCGCTTTGACTACTCCAAGCAGAAGCTGGAGCGACTTAATTGCGATCGTGCGGGTCGCAAGTTTATACCGAATTACATCTACTACGATCAAATGAACTTCATGGATGACGACATACCGCCGTTCAAGTGCCAGCATTGTGCCGATATTGTACAGACGTTGCGCGAACTCGATCTCCACATGCTCACCCACCAGCCGATCCTCGGCGGCGGCTACTATTGCAATGTGTGCAATATTCAGTTCAGCAGCGCCGAAGAGTTCGAAAGCCACAAGCAGTTGCATCTGGGTGCCGCCGGCTCGGAGGGTAAATTCAACTGTGAACTGTGCACGGCCAGTTTCCGGGAGAAGTCCAACTACGATGAGCATTTGCGGCGCCACAACGAGGAGCTGTTTCTGCCAACTCTGGCGCTCAATCTCAATCACAGTATACTGGAATCATCGGGACCCGCCGATTCTGGCTCTGGTTCGGGCAACGGTCGTAAGCGGCGCCGCCGAAGCGCTGTTCAATCTGCTGACGAGAGTGTCGAGGACCATGATGACCAGCAGGACGGACAAGGTGACGGAGAGGTGAAGCCTTTTGGGTGCGGTGTATGCCAACGTAGCTTCGCGACGCCCGGCCACCTCAATGCCCATCGCATTGTGCATCAGGATGAGCGGGAGCGGTCGTACAAGTGCGACTATCCGCAGTGCAACAAGTCATTTATGGCCCGCAACAGCCTGTTCGAGCATCTGAAGTTGCACTACAGCAACGAGGAGTTCAAGTGCGACATCTGCGGCAAGACCTTCAAGTCCACAAAGAATCTGCAGAATCACAAACAGATCCACGACAAGGTAAAGCGATATGTCTGCCAGATATGCGGCTCGGCATTTGCCCAGGCCGCCGGTCTCTATCTCCACAAGCGGCGACACAATCGTCCCAATGGTGCTGTCGGCGCTGTTGGCCGATCGGGTCGTAGTAGTCTGTGAGAGGGACGAGATCGGGATCGGATCAAAACCAAGGCTGGATCTGTTCGCAGTCGTGGACGGGGTCGTGGAAGCGCCAGTGGTCGTCATGTCAAATAGATTCTTAAGCAACTTTCAACGTCCTTCAATTTGCCAACTAACAAGGCAGCTAGCTAGTTTTTTTCATTAATTTAACTTTAGCTACCACTTATAATGTATTTTACACTTATTTAATATTAGTTTAATTAGGCATTTAGGTTGTTCAACTGAGCGCTGGTACCTGCGGTACTTAAACGAAAAGTATTCCCACCACCAATACAACAACAACGCATCAACATCACCAGCACCACAATACAAATCAACACCACAACAAAAACCAGCAACAAAATCCTTACACCCCTTCCCCCCCCCCCCCCCCCCCCCCCCCCCCCCACCCCACCACTCACATTCGAACTATATTTAAGCTTAAAGTTTCGTACACTTTTTCCTTCCATCAACATCAACAACAACATTAACAATATATGCGAAGTGCGATATTGTACTTATGTGCATGCTGGGGCAGGCATGACAGATCAGATCAGATTCGAATTATAATTATATATTATATGCATTATTATACAAACATATACACATTCCTAAGCCCCCCTCCCCCCGAAAGGCCCCCACCCACTCCAATTGCGCGCCGAAACATTCCAGAACTAAGTATTTTATATAAAAAGTATTCTATGTATCGTAACTATGTACGTATTATGGATAACGAGCGATGGACCCGATCCTAACTCTAACAATTATCAGCAATATTTAATTGTATAAGTTCTACACAAAAGCAACACCAACACCATGTACAAAATGTTTAGGTAGCCCATCAGGCATCAGAGAATCCAATAAGATGGATTACTATAGATGAAGGATAAACGCAAAATGAATTGCATTCGATTGAACTTTTAGAATTGTAGCTTGAAATTTTTACATTTTAAATATTTTAAATTATACAAATTGGAAATCTGTTTTGTCTGAAGTTTTGTCTCATCGTTTCGTCTTCAATGGTTCTGACTTACAGTCGAACTTTTTCTTTTTTTTAAGGGAAACCCAACACACCCGAAAGCCTGCCACTAGAGAAATTATAATTTAAGGACAAATAATTTATACTTTATTCTCAGACTCAAAGACTTCGGACTTCCATTTTAATAATAATAAAACTAAGAATAATCCTAAACTCGCGATTACTCTACACAATTTAAGGCCAAAAGTGTTTGCAATTTCCAACAATTCGATTAGAATAATGCAACCTCAGGAGTCTTCAAAGAGTCTTCCTCCAACTAAGGCTTTGTAACATTTACATTTTACATTTACTTGAATTCCTTACAAACAACAAAATTCGATCGATGCTTATTACTAATATAAATGGTTAAAACTGGCTGAAAAGTAAATTAAATGTCTACCTTTTTAGAGACAGATATGGGGCTTATGGCTGATGGCTGGTGGCCCCTCCTGATTATCCAACGACTGACTGAATCCTGTAAACAGTGCGAAAGGGTGGAAGTTCGAAGGTTTAACTAAATAATTATGTAAATATGTAATTTTTGAGATTATGCACATATATAAGCCCATGGCACACAATATCTTAAACCTAAGCAATCAGATAAAGCGACACACACAAACACATATGTATTTAAAATGAATTCAAGAAATTCAGCTAAAGCCTGCAAAAGACTAAAATTTGAATTGTACCAACTTACAGTTTGTCCAACACTTTTACACCAAATATTTCAGTTATTTCTAGTGGAATATTCGTACAGTAATTAGCAAGAATAGAGCACTAGGACCTTCCATACCCCCTTCATTTAGCACACAATTCACACTATTCTGTATCCTAACTTACTTGGTCTCTGGCTTATCTGAGGGTAACTTTAACTATGATCAATTAAAAACAAAGTCTCATATTTACTTTCTACTGCGGCCCTCCTCCAACGGATTTTCTGCTTGGTGTCTTTTTTATGTTTTTTTGTTTCATGGCCAATGCCAAGATAAGTTGTGAAATAGTTAAAGGCAAAAACAAACAGTAGCTAAGCAGAGTTTTTTTCGGCGGGAGAACATTTAAGTGTGTAAGGGTGGGGTGGATCACGGAACACGATTGCAAGAGCAAACGGGTATACCAAAAGTGCGCTTCCAGGAGAACCAGAGAACAAACAAAAAACAAAACCTTGCAAAAACCTTAATTAAATCGCATATAGAACTGGCTGAAAAAAGGGATTAAACAATATTGAATGAGAATATATAAATATAAATATATAAATATATTTTATCCAGTAGCGTTTAAGAAAGCAAAGAAGTCAGGAGGCGCCTTCTGTTTGATGTATGTAAATGTAAATCAAGAACAAGAACAAGGAAAGCAAACAAATGAAATTACACTTTTATTATTTATACTAGTAATATCGAATCGAATGAGATTTTAGTGCGGATACATACCAATTGTGTACAAGAAGCTTACATATGTACATGGCGTGCATTCGAAACATTCTCGAATAAAATAGGTTTAAATCAGTAAACAAACAAAAATAAAAACAATTGTTTTATTTACCGACCGACCATCAGCCTACTACGATTCCTCCATGCTGTTAGTTCCTGGAAATTAGTTATCGCCAATTACATTTGGCCAAGACGCAGAAACGATCACACCAATGTGGCGTGGGCCACGGGTCTACGCAGACTGGACTCCCCCCCCCCCCCTCCCTACACCACGCCACCCATTCACCGTTACTGGGCAAGCAGTGTGGCAAAATTTGTGACTGTGGCATAATTAGCACCCTCGGAGAGCTGTGTTTCGATCGATTCGATCAATTAGCGACAGGCAAGCCCCCTCCACATTGCCCGGGTCCCATGGCTCTCTGGGCTATGTTTTGCGACACACCGACCGACCCGACCATCTATTCTAGGCGAGAGAGCTTTCACTGTTCTCACATTTCGGCTCACATTTCGGGGTAAACACATTAATCAGTGTGTGTGTGTGGTACATAGATTAGATTGGGAATAGTGAAAAAAAAACAAGATTTAAATAATTTGCTTTCGATTCGGAGTAATTTTTTGTTTAATCATTGGATTACTCATCAACAATTTAATAATTCGAGTGCAACGTTTGGTTTGCTATTTTTTTGTTTTGTACAAATTTGTATTTTAGCCTGAGGCTATAAGTATCTCAGAAATAAAAAACAACTAATTTAGAACAGAATTAATGAGATATTCTGGGTTCTGGTTTCTGGTTTGTTCGAGCGCATGTTCATTGTTCCGTTCCGAATTTGCTGGTGACAAAAGCGCAGAGAAAACTGAAGCGACAGATGACAGGATCAGTTGATGATGGTCGATCGTTGACTAGATTTTCCTCCTAAATAAGCTCGCCATGCTCATTCACCTTGATGATGTGCACCCGGGCATGGCGCTCGGAGAGCAGCTGGTCGATATGCCGGCCAGTGCTGGTGCTGGAGTCGCCGTCGCTGTTGGCAAACAGTCCTAGATTATCCTTGATCAAGTGATCGACCGCACAGCCGTCGCACTGGAGAATAACTACGCCGCTGTAGTAGGCCTCCTCGCTAATGGTCTTCGTGTTGCGTGTGTTGCACAGCTTGCAGCGGTATACTAGCTCCATGCGACGCTGCATGCGGCGAAAACGCTTCAGCGTTGTGGGCGACAGTGAGCCACTTTGCTGGGCAACCGCCGAGCGGCCAATGTCGAACGGCTTGGCCGTGAACTGGCAGGCGTCGAGGATGGAGCGCGGTATGGATAGCGGCGATGGCCGGGCATCTTTCAGCGCTTTGTCCGCATCGGAAAGGGGCAGGCTGGGGTCCACAACCGCCGGCTGCTGTGTGGCATTAAGGATAGCGTTCTGTCCATTCTGGCGCAAGTAGTTTAAAGTACGCGATGTAAATATGTTGCGCAATGCGTTCATCTTACATCAGTCTGGGCATAATAACACTAATGAGATGGTTTATATTTATTTACTAGGACCGTTTTAATCGTTATCACGGGCGGATACTAACCTAACGCACGTGTGGACTGCTTAAAAAATAATTAAAGTTTGTTTTTTTGTTGACCAACTGCGCCGTGCACAGCAGTGCTGCCGATTTCGACTGTTTCCCGTCAGATCTGGCGTCTTTTCAATTTCAGTGACAGGTAAAGCTCGATTAGGTATATGAAGTACTATAGAAACCTATTAAATATCAGATCACCTCATCTAAAAAATGCCGTAGATCCAAAAAATATGTTTTTTTAAGGTTATTATTTCAATATATTTTAGATTTGTTTAAATTTTTTGCAAATTAAAAACAGCTTTTTTCTGTTGAAAGGTTGGCAGCACTGTGTCTCTACTGAAAATTACATATGTGTGTAGTTGATGAGTAGAAATTTTGTAGTTACATTGTTCAATAGGTAAAATTGTCTTGTTTAAAATCGAAAATATAAGGAGGGCCGATCGCCATGGTCATGAATATTTGTTCTAAAAGTAGCTTATATAACGCTACCCGAACCTGAACATTAAAAACCTGAACCTGAAGAATCCGCTACTTCTGCGAAGGGCCATTCCATTCTTATCAGACAGCCCCGTCACGATACAGAGATTAAGAGAGTTGTGAAATGTGAACTTCCTTTGCATATGTGCCCTCAATCTCACAATCAAAGTGATGTTGAATAAACTAGAATGAATTTGAATTGGGTTGGTTTGATACATATAATTTAACATCTTAACTCATTCACCAATAATTGCTGAAACATTTGCGTGGGGAGAAGGAAATATTAGCAAAGAGGCTCAGCGGGAATTTGGCACGCCAGTGGAGGAAGTACTGCCTGAGCACTGACTAGATGTTGGATGTTGGGGGGGGGCGGCGACCGTGTGCATGTTGAGCAAAATGCGAGTTAAGTCTTCTCAACATGGTTGCGTGGGGGAGGAGGGAGTGGGTGGAACGACGGCCTGGAAATCCGTCACGGCTCTTATGAGGTGTAGGAAGTCCCATGATTGGATCCATCTAATCACAGGAACCATCTAGCCAGCCATCCCGCCATCGCTCGTTCACCTTGTTGCAATCGAAGAGGGGCTTCCCGAGCTTGTCATTTACTCGATTGTGGAACATGCACAGCCACGAAGACAGCTCCTTTTGAGAGTTCACATTGATTGGGTTCACGGCAAGACTGTGGGGAAAACGCACGACTTAGATACAGGCGGCAATGCAAGTGGCAGACTTACTCAGTGCGGAAATCCTTTGCACAGAACTCGCACGGATAGAGGCGGGAGAGTACTTCAAAGAAGGATTTCATGTCACGCTTCTCGTTGTCAGTCGGATTCTCTGAGTAGAAGGCGGCCATCGTGTGAAGCAGTCCCCAGGTGGAGATGCCCAGGCTGACTTTGTCCAACGGGCAATCATCTCGAGGCAGCTCTGCCGCGTTTACAGTCAACTTCTCTGTCGCTGTCGTGTGCTTGTCCTAGAAGATAATGGCCGATTATGATGGGTGCCAAAAGGTTTGGACAACATTTTTGAGTTACCTTTGAGCTCTGCACATTTGACATTATGCGCTGCTGCTTTGACCATGACTTGAAGTCATTGCAAGTGCGACAATTGGAATCGGGATTCGCCTGTTGTCTGTGCGAGGCAAAACCATGCTCGGGCTGCTGCCGTCGGAATGAAGAAGGATCCGTATCCGACATTATTTTTGAATGGGGATCTCGTAGGAATCGCAAGATGCTTCGCTGCGCACGTTGCACGTACCGACGGGCTGCGTCCTCAAAGAGCTCTTGCTGGGTATACTGGAAATAGTGACGTTCACGTAGAACAAATAATGATGATGCTGCTGGCAGGTCGCCTGAAATCTTGAAACTTTGCCGAATTATTGTGAAAGTCGTAAAATTCAATCGCATGGTTGCCACCTTGTTGCAAAATGGCACATTTTTGTAGAAAACGTTTTTTGTTTTGGCTAGTAATTTATGCTAGTTTAGGCATTGGAAAAGCGTGTTTTAGCCTCATCTCTTCATTCAAAAAATATAGCTATTTATCATCTGAAAAGCCACAAGTCTGATGGCAATCGAACATGGATTTATACACGAATTTTACATGTACTGGTAAATACTGGAAAATATTAGAAAATGCTCCAAAATACTAAAGTAGCAAGTAAACAGATCGATAGGCAAAGGGCTCCAGGAAATCGAATCATTTGAAGTAATCAAACTGCGAAGCGCCCAACTACAACGGACTTAGTTTCTTTGCCTTTAAAATGGTACTCACATGTGGAGACCAGTACCAGAATCGGGTTTGTGCATGAACATATGATAATTGAAAATTTCCAACAAACGACGATATACAATTTTAGAAATGTGTTTGTGACATGTAAAGAAAATGTCTCGTCTGTGTGTTATTATTATTAGTCCAAAGGCACACTTTTAATTTATTATTATTAATACGATATACAATGTAAAATTTCATTTAGTAACAGCTACGGGCTGTGTAAAGACAAGTTAACAACAACTGGCCGTGGGAAGGGAAATGTGGAAATGGGGAGAATGGATGGGTGGGCGTGGGTGGTTAGCTCTGAGCAGCTGACAATGGTTAGATAGTACGTACACATACACATAAATAGTCGCATAAACACATTTAAAACAAAAAATTAAAATAAAATATTTAGAGTAAAAGTGATGGGGTGGGGTGGGGGTTGGGGGTGGTGGGCTACATGACTTAGGCTTAAGCTTAGGCATAGTCCCTGAACATTGTGAACAGACTGTAGAGAACACGCAGTGTGGACTTTAGGTCCATGTTGACAATGTCCTCGGGCCGGGCCTTTGGCTTAGGCAGGCCCACGTCCTGCATGAGGTCAAAGGCGAACGCCACATTGTTGACCATTTGGTCTAGATCCTGGGGAGTCAAATGGAACTCGTGCAGCGGCACAAAGAAGCCACCCAGCAGTCCCATCAGCAGGCACAGATAGACGCCATCACGGAAGTCCGTATTCAGATCGGTTATCTCAAAGTTCAGCTTCGCCAGGTGCTTGTTGACGAACGTGATGAGGGACTTTTTCACCACAGCCAGCTTGTCCGGCGCACAGTCGATCAGCGTGTCGAAGGCATCCTTCTCACACCGCATGCCCAGGTCATCGTACTCGGAGGTGATTTGTTCCTGGAACTTTTGGGCATTCAGAACGCCCGCATTCTTCTCAGCAATCACCACAGTGACAAACACGTTCTCCGGCAGGCGCACAGGCGCTCGGAAGTGACGCACTAGAGCGACCAACAAATGCAGAATGGCCACAATGTTCTTCGAGTGAACGCTGGCCACCGACCACTTGGGTATTTTCTGATGAAAGCCGAGTGTCTGTTTGCGGATGAAAACAATTGATTTATTAATCAAATTAATTTTAGACGCAGGAAGCTGTAGGAAGCTACTCACATGGTTGACGGCCTTCAGGACTATGTTGAGCTTCTCGTGCTGGCCCTGCTCCGACTGTGTGACCTCGGGCACGTCTAGCTTCTTGCCCGTCAGCTTCTCCCAGAGCTTGTGCAGCACCTGGCCATCGTACATGTCCTCCTCCAGCTGCTGGACTATAATGCGCTGCTCCGCCAGCTCATCGTTAATCCAATCGACCAGAATCTTCTGCAGTTTGACCACCTCTGGATCGTTGATCGACTGCGGATCGATGACAGCCCGCTGCTCGTGTTCGCCTGCAGGGGATTAAGGCATTTAGGACGATCTTTTATTTAGCGGATTTACTTACGTAGAGCATAGTCCTCGGGTGGTATGTCATATTGGTTGGGCGATCCCGGCGAGTCGATGGCATATTTGCCCTCCTCTTGAATTTTCTTCACTGCGTGGGGCGAGAAGGGAATCGGGGGATTATTATGACTAATGACGACACAATGAACGCCCTTTGATGAGGCAGTCTGTGGCCCCCAAACCCCAGAAACAAACAAGACACACACACAGGCACAAAGAGATCACAACTTGTTTGTATGCGTCACAAATGACGCAATGTTCTCAATGGCTGGGGGACCCAGTACACAGGCACAGCCCATATGCAGAGGCAGAGCCAAAGTCACATCTGCTCCCATAAACGCTCCCTAGATGTTCTTGAAGGCGTTATCTGGATACTCATCGACCGCATATTGATAGTTTGATCCGTAACAGGAGATTTGATTGGTTTAACACAATCTTATATGATGTTTATCATATATTTTAATGTGTTTTAAGCATAGCATTCGCTCTCACCTTCGCGGGTGCCGCGTTTGCGTCCCAATGTGCTAAATTTGTCCCAGAAGCTGTCTTCTTTTTCGCCCTTTTTGATTGCCGTGGGCGTGTGCGGTGATTTTGGACGACTGAGAGTGGACATGGCGACGCGATAAACTAAACAAAACAAAAAACAAACGACGTCGAGGCAAGGCAAGGCACTTTTTATGTTATTGTTTCCAATAATTTCTTATCGGGTTGCCACCTTTCAAGACTCTGGCATTGCCCAACACTTGTGGCACATAGTTTAGATAAATTATTTTTTTATGGTTTATGGTTTTACAGTGGTTTATTTATTCTAAGGCTATGGGGTCGAATCATGTATTTTTTTTTATATAGAATTGGGCAGCTGACAGGCTCGGACTGCCACCAGCTGCAGTAAGACAAATATTGGCGAGAATACCTCGCTGTACTCCAGCGCCGTATTTCTGCCCGAGAGCTTGAGACACAACAGATACTTGAATATGGCAATCAGCACTAGGAAGTAGGTGCTCCACATGAAGCGATGCAGCGCCTTGCGCTTGTTGTCAGAGTCCAGATACATGCGAATGCCCACAATGACGCAGAAGTATGCATTGCAGATGTCAATGAAGAACAGGGGACTGAAGACGGTGAACCAGTCCTTCATCAGCTCTGGGAAAACCTCGTTCAAGGTGCCGGATATCTTAAAGGCTAGCGTTATGGTGAACACGAGCAGGCCGCACAGGTTGACCAGGATCTCGAACTCGGTCAGGCCCAGCCAGCGCACCAGCTCCGATAGTTTGAACATTTTTTACTTTTGAAACCTAGGTGTTTTTTTGTTTCTTGGCCTCTGCCTTCTGTTTCTTGGCGGCCTCTGCCTTCTGTTTCTTGGCGGCCTTTGCCTTCTGTTTCTTGGCGGCCTTTGCCTTCTGTTTCTTGAAGTTCGCCTTCTGTGGGTGCTGATGTTGCTGCTTCGGCTGTTGGGGCTTCGGCGGCTCGCGTTGACTGACCTTTGGCAGAGCAGGCGGAGCCGGGAGCTGGGGCACGTCAATGTTAAATAAGTTGTTGCTGAAGATCCTGATATGCAGTGCTGAGTTATTTCGCTGCCGAAAGGTTATATCGTCCTCATCACACAGCGGATGCAGCTCGTCCACTAGCTGTATGGTGGAGGTGTTGATGGTGTAGCCTAAAGCGCCCTCCGAGTTCTTGATGAGACGCAGGGCAAGGTTGAGGCCGCGAGTGATCGAGTAGCCCATGCAATGCAAGAATATCTCCTTAACGCCCGAATTGAGCAGTTCCTTGCATCGCTTCTGCTGTGCCTGCAATCGTGTAAGCGTGTGAATGACCCATCCTATTATTTGTTAAACGCAATCTAGTACGCACCTTGAAGTCTGTTTTGCTGGTAATGTAGATGTTGCGGCGGTCGTTGGCAGCACGAGGCGGTAGCTTGCGCACCACTCTGTGACTGGCACCGTCGCCCTGGTTTCGCCCAGAGTGGCTGTTTATATTTTTGGTTCTTGGCTTCGCACCGAGCTCAGGTGCATTACTTTCCATTATCAGATTAGCTTAACTATATCCCATTACTTTCTTTGTGGTGTGTGTTTTAACTAGACCTCAAATTATACCGATTGTTGCGCATTAGTCAACACACATTTTCCACGGTCTGGCACGCCGGCACTAGCTGTCACATCTTTGACAACTTCCGATTACTCTGCGTTTCGCATCACTATTCTGCAGGCTGACCGTTTACGGTATATTTTGACGTCGAGATTGAGTCGACGGTATATGTACGGTATATATAGGTATATTTCGACAATTGTTTGGTAAACAACGGTATATTTGAGAAGGTAACACATTTTCGTGAAGATTTCAAACAGATTTCAAACAAAATTAATTGATTGAATTAAATTGAAAAAAAAAACCGCTTTTGAAATACAGTGGCGCGGATACTTGGTTACCACTTTTCAGTTTCAACGCCTGTAAAATCTGTAAAAATTATTAAATCCTTCGCATCTTTAATTTAATAGATTCTTTAGTTATTTGACAATGAAACAAAACATTAATTAAAACTAAAAAATATCGGCTTCATTAAAAGTTGTTATGTTTTGTTCAAAAAGTCAATGTATCAACTTTTGCACGTTTCTAATTTTTTAAATTCATACATTTTTTTAAATGTTTTCTGCTAAGGCCCATCTATTACACTCAGAATATGCCTAGGCATTTTATCGACTAAATTTGTAATGTCCTCGCCAGATATTATGTCCTTTTTAAAGAAAATCATGTAGATTTTTAATGGGATTTAGATATGTTCGTTGAGTAGACTACTAGATTGGATGAAAACTCTTATTATTGCGAAAATTTATCACGATTTTAGCCGTTTTCATCGAGTCCCCGTTCTGCTGGCTGGTGATATCCAGTATGGGGTTAGCACATTCAAAATCTTCAAAATTGAAAATTTGCCAAATTGGTCCCCAAAGGCTAATCTTATATTTCTTATTCATCATTTAATCGAATATAATTAATGGGGCAACAATCCCGTTAGCCCGTAAGTAAGGAAAGTACTTTTCCCGGTTCGGCGTGATTGCGGCAGCTAAGCATTAAGCATCCTGCCCTCACAAACAACTTTTTGCGAATCGTATTAATTTGTTGATCAACTAAGACTAAAATAAACTACATTCAGTCTGATAACAAGGAGTACTACTGGCACCAACCACATAAAAGAATTAAAAATCATCAGGTCAAGGTACCGACGAAACATGCAGGAGCATGCTGATCGTGTGGGGCTGCTTCACTTGGTGGAAATGGTAACCCATTGGCTAAAATCTGAAGACAAAGCTCCCGTGCTTCCAGAGGAGGTGATTTGAATGAAAAATTCAAATTCGTAAAATATAAGGTCATAAGGTATACAATCCAAAAAAAAAGGACTATTTATAATAAGCAAAATGGATTCTTCAATCAGATTAAATTATTGTTTCAGTGGTGAAAGTCTTTGCAATCTAGTAATATCAAATAGAACATCAAAATCGAGTAAATATGTGGTTGACCGAGATCGATTAACCTTCTTTTGACAAATGGGTGTTTAGGTGCAAACTAAGAATTTAATGAAACTTAAAGATTTTCAACGCAGTTCGATATCGTGCTCATTCGAATTTGTTCGTTAACAGGGGGGATATGTGGCTACAATAAACATTTACAATAAGTTTTATTTCCCCAAGTTTGCCCAAGTTTCCCCAGGAGTTAAGTTTGAACAGTCACTCGGAAGCGTTTGAGCCATGCCCCAATTCGAAATAGAGATCAATGGATTATCGGGTAACTGCTGCCCCCAGCTCCAATTAAGAAATACAAATTAATTCTTTAAAGAAATCGGTGTGGAGGAGACCATAAAGGATACCCGAAAACTGGCGGTTCGCCCGCGAATAACGGTTCTATGTAACGCACAGAAGGAAACGTTTCCGACCCCATAAAGTATATACATATATTCTTGATCAGCATCAATAGCCGAGTCGATTGAGCCATGCCTGTCTGTCCGTCCGTCTTTTTGAGCGCCTGGATCTCAGAGATCATAAAAGCTAGAGCCACCAAATTTTGCATCCAGGCTTCTGTATGCTCACACTGCTACAAGTGTATTTAAAAAATGAGCCCCGCCCCCTTCCGCCCATGCAAAAGGCCGACAACCTCCCAAACCTTCAATTTTAAAGATAAAAGAAAGAATGATCCGATTGGATCATTATTATAGCCACAATGAAGATTAAATTTGCAGTGGCTAAACCCACCCCGTCCCGCAGCTTATATTTGTTGTTTGCACATTCTCTTATTCACACTCTGCTTCGCGCAGTGTGCGGCCTCTGCCTCTGCCTCTACCCCGAGTATGCAGTGTGTGGGTCTAGGGAAGGGAGGCGAGCTAAAGGAGCGTGCTGGTGTGAGAAGTGTTGTAGATGTAGATGACAGATGAAGAAAAAATTTAAAATTACTGAAGAAGCGTTTCACACGTCCCTTCTCGTTTCTCTTGCAGATTGGCATCGAATGAAGTCGTTGGGATAGATGGAATTGTTAATTCACGTCCAGATGACCAAGGCATGGCCACAAGCACAAGCTGGCAATCACAAGTATGTAAATGACAACGCTTCTATGGTGCCAAATCAACGTCCTGATCTCCTTATAGGAAAGTGCTGCTGCTGATTAGGCCCGACCGCGCGGCTGTTGGCATGGAGCTCGTTGGTGTCGCGGCCATTTAATGTGGGATGGCCAGCTCATTCTCTTCGCTATCGTCGGCAGAGTCCAATTCCTCCATGTTAATGGTGGCTACCACCGTTGGGTGCGACATTTTCTGGCTTAAAGTTGGCTTCGTTCAGCAAATGGCTACAAATTCTGTAGCATTTCCCAAATATAAAATTGGTGAAGTTACAGTAGATGCAGTTGTTCCAATTGAAAATATTGGAGATATTGGACATTGGAGATTGGATCCATTGATATTGGAGAATTTCCAATAGTTGATCCACATTCCACAGTTGATCCAATTTTTTCCATTGGATTGCTGATGATGAAGGAGTTGTCCTTCGAAACAGTCACAATCTCAATGAATTACTTTCAAAATTTGCAGATTGTAGATACAGATCGGTATATACATAGTACAAACAAAAAAAAGTTTAAAAGCATGTCAGTCTAAGACAAAGTCATTGTTAATTATTAAAAGCGGTTGCTTAAATGGTTTTATTATATTAACTATGTCAAATATATTTTTTTGGAATTGAATGATGATTCGAGTTAAAATACATTTTAAAAGCTGAGAGTCCCAACCAGCTGGTAATATCAAATAGAACATCAAAATCAAGGATCTGATTTAAGACTACGGTGTATTTGCAGTATATTTTGAAGATGCAAGGGTATATTTTGAATTATCTACGAAACCCTGACGGTATATTGTATCGATAATTTCGCGGTCACACTGCTATTCTGTCATCAGGGGTTCGTTGAAAATTTTTCGTCTAACATTTTGGAACAACAAAGGTATGTTTTTCGACCCAGAAACGCAATTCTAATTGCATTTGCAAGCAAACTGTAAGCCTCGGTATTGATTCAAATTGCATTAAATGCAACCCAAAATGCCCACGAGCAATCTTGTGGCCAACCGAACGCACGCATACACACACACACGCATCTGTCCGCTGCTGAGGCATTGGCAGAAGGAAAAATAGTGCAAATCAAATTACATAACTCGTTTATTTGTATATACTTCAAGTAGTTTGATTTACAAAATTCTACATCATCTGCATAAGTAAGTTACCAAGTAAGAGAGCCATCTAAGTTCAACATCGAGTTACATAAGTCTTAAGAGTGGCGACCGAATGAAAAAAAAATGAAAGAGAAAAGAATTGAATCGATTCGAAAAGTACCACCCAATCGCAAGTCGATGTGCGATGTGCCCCCCCAGAAGCCTAAGTATATTCCTAACCACAAATGTAGAAAAGAAAGATAAACCAAACCTCCTTGCACAACGTTTTGGTTCAAGTAACGTTTTGTATTCATGCGTTCAAGTCATTTTTCCATGCAGGCCGAATATCCGATACGATTTCAGAGTCCTCACATACCAAGAGTCAGAGTTAAACAAGCACAAAATCAATCACAGCCAAGCCAGCAGGCAGGCAAGACAAGGCAGCCAGCCATTCAGCAAGCAGGCAAAGCCATCAAACGACGGATAATCCAGCCTGGATAATAGAAACAACCGGCGGAAGCGAATGCGGAGAAACATTTGATCTTGGCCGGCAATCATCATCTCTTCTCTCCTAGTGGACAAACGCAAACAAGTAAATTTTACCATTTCTCATTTTAATCAAGTCAATCAAAAAGAAAAGAAATAACAAGAGCAAGAACAAGAACAAAGAATCAACAATCCAAGGACTCACTATCGAGTCTACTAAATCCAAGTATCCAAATTGCATAAGAATCCGATCCCCATACATATGTGCGGATATATCTTGTGAGGTGGTGCTCAGTTCTTATTCCATATAATAATCTCGTTGCCTCACCTGGCTGAGTGCTGGCTGCTGGAGACCAGCTGCTCCAGCTCCAGCCAGGTCGGGGGAAACCAGAAACTGTTTGCCGACCCACAAGGAACGATTAGCGATTTTGAACCACAACCTACAGATATACAGAAAAGAAAACAGATACAGATATTGTGTATGCATAGGTATTCCGTAAATGCGAAAACTGCAACTGCTTGATTTAACGCGGCACAGTTTCGAATTGCAGATCAACCCGACATGTCGGCCGCTCGCTTGCCCTACTATCAGCAGGATCATCCGACAGACCAGCAGCGGCGCGGTGGACGCGGCCAGCGCGGCTATCCCGAGCGCCATGCATCCGGCTCGCATAGACGGGATCGTAGCCGCTCCGTAGAGCGGCGACGCTACAGTCGCAGCCGCTCTCACTCCCGATCTCGCAGTCGTTCCGCAGACCGTTCGGGCCAACGGCGACGACGTGACGAGCGGAACGACGAGCGACGTCAACAGCAGCCGACGCGCTACCATCGCGAAAGGGACTCCAGGGAGCGTTCACGGGATCGGGACCGTGACCGCGATTACTCCAGACGCTCTGGACATTATTGTCGTTCAGACTCGCCTGCGTCCGGTAGCGGAGTCGGAGTCGGAGGCAGCCTTAGCTCCAGTTCCAGTCAGCGACGCCATCGCCAATCATCTGGAGATCCGAATGGTGCACATCCGAATTCACACAATGAGGCCCAGCCAGCTAACAGCAGATCCCATGCCATGTCCGCGGTAGGCGCCTATTACAACCTAGACACAGAGGAGCCATTCGACAAGGAGCGAATTCATCGTGAAATGGAGGAGAAGCTGCGCGAAGCCCTGGCCAGAGAGGGCAAAGTGTATCCGCCACGCAAGCCTGAGCCGCCGTCGCATCCAGTCTTTGCCAATGATGGCTCGTTCATGGAGATGTTCAAGAAAATGCAGTCGGAGAAGAGGCAGCAGCTGCAGCTGCAGGTCGGCCAGGACTATCAATTGGAGAGCAGTGTGCTCGTATCGGGCAGTACGGAACTGCAGCCACCAGTAGAGGTTAATCCGGGCATACCCTGTCTTCCCGCCATTGCAGTGGGAGCTGTAAGCAGTGCGACAGCGCCCTACATTGCCGCTGCGGCAGCCGGAAAGTCTGCTCCACCGCCACCCATGGTGGGTAGGCGGCGCGGCGGCAAGGTGCTAAAGACCGGCATGGTGGCCAAATTGAAGACACAAAATGAACAGGAAGTGGATCCGAAAGACTTTTGGTCACTGTATCTAGCCGAGGTCAACAAATACAAAAGCAATGCCTGTGACACGGACAATGGCAAGCGTCCGTTGGTCAAGTAGGGAACAAAAGTGGAAAAATAAACTTGAACGCAGAAGACACTACCACGCTCCCTTCAGGAGCGATCCTTCCCTCCTTCCTTGCTTTATTCCCCGCACCACAGCCACCAGCCAGGCTCAGACTAGGCAAATACCCGCGCGCCTGCAAGCTCACATTTAAATTACTTATGCAAATGATGATAGTAGTCGTAGGATTCGCATTGAATTGTAGTTTCCAAAATGTAAATTACGATCAATCGATGTATTTTTTTTTTAAGTTTTTTTTTATATACATATATGTATACATATATTAGTATGTAAGTTTGATACACGTTAAGGGACGAAGCCGTAGCCGCTGCCTCAGTATAAGAATACAAATGATTGAAAATAGAATAGCTCATAAGTATCGTAGCGTAGTTGATTTATACGAATTGTATGTGTAACTCTTTCTATATTATATATATATATACATACATAATACATGCATATACATGTGCAAGCATATTATATAGTGCATAATGCATAATGCATAATGCATAGCGCGCACAAACCATGAGGCAAAACTAACCAATATGATTCTTTATAATCTATCTCTTTCTCTCCGTATACGTTCCATGCACCAACCAAAAAAACACTCGACTTGACTCGACTCGCTTACGAATCATTTCCTAATTTCCTGTTCCTTAATTCAATTATTTATAATTTATGTAACTTTCCACATATTAACCGACCTTCAACTGACTGTCAACCGACTATCTATCTATCTCCTCTCTCTCTCTCTTTCCCGTCTTATCCCCTCTCTACCTTGGTTTACAATTTGCTTGGTTTCCTTTTAATTTTTGTGGTGTTTTTGTTTAATTTTGTTTTATTAACTAAAGTCTATATGCAATTTTTCATGTCTAAAAACAAAAATAGCGACAAGTCACTAGACAGCAGCAACATGTCGGCCTATAAGCTGGAGACCGCCCCGTTTGATCCACGTTTCCCCAACCAGAACGTGACCCGTTACTGTTACCAGTCGTACATCGACTTCCATCGCTGCCAGAAGAAGCGCGGCGAGGACTTTGCACCCTGCAACTATTTCCAAAAGGTCTACAAGACGATGTGCCCCAACGCCTGGGTGGAGAAGTGGGACGATCAGCGCGAGAGCGGCACATTCCCGGGCCGCATCTAAGCATCCCAGATGCAGAAGCAGAGTAAAAACACCAACCCTACACTACACGCTAAGCAAAACAAACACCACACAGAACAACTGTGCAACAACACGACACGTTAAATAGCAACAATAAGCAGGCCCAACTAGAGCAGAGGGTTGTGTGTTATCCAACATCCCAGAGCCAGGATATCTAACAATTGCAGCAATAATGTCACACACCAAAACTGTTTATGTTATTATTTTCCGGAGGTGAAGAAAGCATTGACTAAATACAAATACACAATTGTTCAATTCTGTGAATACCAATTCGATTCGATTCGATTTTTTGTTTGTCCTTTCTGTTGTCGTGGAGCGACAGAACTGCAGAACTGCAGAACTGCAAAAACACGGGTCACTGTTAAACGCTGTTTCCATGCAACTAAAAATTAAAAGTGAACACACAAACGATTTAATTTGTTTGCATGCCGAGCAGCAAATGATCGATCCATTGCCTCTCCTAGCTAGCTAATACTACACGTATTTATATATATATTATACGTATATATATTTATGGTGGTAAGTAATCGGACGCAGAGACTGTGTGTTGCCTAGAACATGGTTTAATTACTTTCAAGCTGTCCTCTTCACCATAGGGCAATCACTTTTCAGGACCAACACGCTATCTTCAACCCTTTCTAGCGCTTGTTTTTTTGAGCTTGGTGAATAAGTTAGTGGTCCTCCCCATGGTGAAATTAGTAACAAGGTGACGGATTCACCACAGTGCCCTCTCACCAGGAACACCAGCTCATGGTGAAATCATGGTGAAATTACTAATAAACGTTTGCTATCTCTCTCTAGCGCTTGCCTCTCTGAGAGCTGAGAGAGTGTGGTGAATAATCTGGTGCTCTTCCACTCAGCTGACGACGTCACCTTGTTAGTAATTTTACCATGGTCCTCCCCACAGCGGACAACGTAACCTTGTTAGTAGTAATTTCACCATGGGCTGGATTAGCTTGAAAAACAAACAACTTGGCAGATATTGTGAGCCGATAGAGAGACAAACCAAACTACTCTTTCAACTCCGACAAAAGCTCATGTCTAGTGGCTAATAAGGGGATTGTACTAACTTGTCTATAAATGGTTTGAAGTTTTTAAATGAAGAATGAAATGAAAAAAAATATAATTTTTGTCGAGTTTTAGTGTTTAATGTGGCCATCGAATGGGAACAAAGGTAAAGGCAGAGTGCCTCTTGCAGTGGCATGTTAGGTCTAACGAAATTAGTTGTGTTTTGTCATAAGACTCGCATTGAACCAATTAAAAACGCCTTCAACTGGGTAAAAAAGTGGAATATATTCTCTCCAGTGGAAACAAGTCCATATATTCCAGATGTGTTGCACGGATATTTCCTTATTCGAGTTGTTGCAGTTGAATCTGATCAATCGAAAGCTTTGTACTGTGCCCCATTGCCTCGGAATTTGCGATATTCTTGCCAGATTCAGGATTTCAGGCAGCCTTTCGTATGAGACACTGCTGTTCGAGCTCTGACCTGAATCGAGTGCGAGTCATAGTCAAAGTCTCAGTCCAATCACAAGTCGAGAGAGGAGTCAATAGGTTTTGCAGAACACAAATAGGGCGTCTATGCCCATACATACTGTACTCTCAGCTTCAAATGGGTGAGTTTGCACTGGCTTCAGCATGCCTCATAGGAAATGATAAATGATAAGAGTATGGGCAGCGTGACTAGGAAATCTTAGAAAAGCACCAAAAATGAGATCTCCTGAATGAAATCAAACAAATTTTGAAATACATTTAAATTTACAAGTAAACTGTCTAGAGCAGTAGAGAACACATCTACTTTTGTAGAGTCGGAAAAAAACAAAATTTATTTAAAATTTCGGAAAAGTCAAAAAAAATTTAAGTGAAAAATTAATATATGTCTCTAGAAAAAATGTTTCTTCAAAATTGAAAACAAATTGTTTCGTTCAAAATTTAAATTAATTTTCAGTTGGTTAATAATTAATTGTGCTGAATGGTTTTCGCAAGTTACCTTCATTTCCTTCCTTTCGTGTCAATATATTTTTTTAATATTTAATATTTTACCATTTACATTTGATTGACGAACAGTTTTACTCGTAAGTGTGCTCTGACATTTTTGTAATGCGGAAAAGAAAACGAAGTTCATTCCATTCCCAAGCAGTGATTAATTGATTGATTGATATGATATGATTTGATTGATTGATTGACATTAGACACGTACCGGGCAGAAGCACTGCCCTTACACTTACACTTTCGCTTCTGGCCCTCACGGAGCAACTAGGAAAAGCCATCGCCAAGTAAGTACAAAAATGAGCAAAACAAACCCATAAAAAGGGTTATGGAACCCGACTGCTGATAGGGTTGCCAGCTGCTTTTAAGCAGCAACTGTACTTTCCCGAGCTGATTTTGCTTTTATTTATATATTTCGATATAGTCTTTTGGCGACTGGCCTTTCCGCCCTGTTTGGCCTGTTGGCTTTCGGTAAACACACCGACTGGCAGCTAACTGCCTGTTGTATTCCACTCTTCAACAAACCATTCCCGAAATCAGAGAGTAAGTAAAATAAAGTTAAACAAAAGTCAGTGGTTTTTATAAATTAATTTTAATTTAGATTGAAACACACACAAAAACAAGAATTCCGGCGATGGAAGAAAACACGAGTCCAAGGATATCTAGCAATTGCAGCAATATCTGGCACACACTTACCTCTGTATGTTTAAACATTGCCACAAGTTAACAATTTAATATAATTGTTGAAGACACGTAAGACCCATAGGGGTCAGCACAGCCAATCCTACCAGATCCTTGGCATACAAGACCAAGGATATCTCAGCAATTGCAGCGAATATTTATTACACAACTCGTTATGTTTAATCATTTACACAACTTAACAATTTATTTAATTCTTAAAAGACAAGACCCCAAGAGCACTGGGTCAATGCTCTTTTCGGCGGTTGAAAGCATTGACGAGCACAGCTCACACAAGTGCACAATTGTTCAATATGTTCAATAACAATTAATGCTTAAGTTACGTACTTACTTATCATGTTAAATTACGCAATTAAATGCAATTTAAAATCGATGCCATTATGATTTTGTTTGATTCCAAATAGCTGAAAATAGAGAAGCTTGTGCTGCCCCAGTATTTATTCCGAAAAGTCTCAATTTTGGCAACCAAGTGAGAAAAAGGCCCATCCATTCTGTTTGGCCTGCATGGTTTATTCATTGTAGTTGTTATTATTTTTGAATATTATAAAGAGTGTGTGTGTGTACAGGAGGGAGGCCATTCGAACCTTGGATTCGCATAGATACTCGTAGTTTGAGAGATGTTAAGTTAAGATCATGGAGAATGGAAATCTATTTCATTTAATTCTATACAAAAGTGTCCATCTCAGGGTGAATCTTATGTCTAGTATGTACTCGGAGACGGATATATTAGATAGATATAATATAAATATAGCCCTGCCCTTCTGCCTCCGTAATTATTATTATTATGTGTGTGTGTTTTTTTCTTTCAGAATGTTCACCTCTTTAGTATGCAGCTGGTAGTGCTCTTATAGACTTGAATGGAAACCCCTGTCTGACAAGAGTTCTCTTAAATGCAGAGAGAGGGCGCCACAGAAGCGACTTCTGTGTGTCCAATACCACCGCCAGTATCCGCCAGTATATCTATATGAGACACTACTTGTTTCGGCAACTCCTCGCAACCAGTTCGGAAACAAAATCTCGAAATAAAAAGCCAAGTGCTGCTGGTTCGACCGAGTCGGAATTCAATTCAATTTAATAATCTTCTTCTTTTCAACTTCGATATTCACCTATTACATGCATGTTCTTCCTCTGTCTCTATCGTATTCACATATTACATGTATGTTCTAAAGCAACAAACTTCTGTGAGTATGTCGTAAATGCAACAATGCTACAAATTCATTTTACTTATACAAAATACTAATTGCTAAATTAGTTTGGCGTAAACACTACTGTTGAAAGCCAGTAAACATCCATCATAAATGCAATGGTAACTTAGAAGCCGGGGGAACAAAAATAATGGTTGATAAAATATCAAGAAGTAGTTTTAACTTAAATCTAATCAACGTCAACACAAAGGAAAGGGAAACAAAATAAACTGATTCAATATACATAGAAGTAGAAGTACAATGCGTGGATGGATGTCTCTGTCTGGCAATGTCAAATGTCTTTCAAGGCTCTTTGTGTGCTTGCATTTTAATTTTATATATTACTTAAATTGAATACAGTCGTACGTATGTATGTAGATTAGTAACTTAGTAACTTGCGTTGATCGCCTGAATCTATTGGAATTCTTTTTTTGTTCTTAGTTTGTACCGCAGTTATGAAAGGATCTTTGCTCATAATAATATATGTAATATTATCCCCATGGCTAGTGCTAAGACGGCTGAACGAGTGGTTCCGTACTGGGCTTACCTCAATGGGGTTGTCTTTATTTTCCCCGCTTTCACATACGATCTATCTACTACTCTAAGTGGATCCCACGGGTGACGAAACTGCTCATTTTACAATATTGCAGAATTCGTCCCACCCAGTGGTCAATTCAGTTAACTCTTGTTAACTTATATAAATTAAATATCTGCTCTTATTTCCGTGGCTCGGCCTACGGCTCACTGGCACGGTTTAAATTGTGAGTAAAGACTAAAATACTAAATATCAGTTATAAACTGAAATGCAGACCTCGACAGCAACCCGTGCAGACGCTGCCGGCGGATGTGTCCCTGCCCGATGAAACCTGGTGCCAGTGCTGATTCTCTGCTGCTGGAAGGGAGTGTTAACTACTCCCCCTCTTCAAGAGTGGTCGACCTCGAACCCCTCTAGTTCTCTATCATCGCTTTGACCTCGACCAAATCCTCTTCCTAAGTAGGGATCTGTAGTAGACGATGATGGCGATGGCTCCTCGCTGAGCTGGTGTAAGAATGGCAGCCCCTGGACCTTATGGTGCCCCGTGATGTTCATGGCGGGCACCGATTCCGGCGATTCGGGGAACCCGACTTTTTGTGTTGTCGCGATTCCGGAAACGGGAGCTGTTGAAGGTGGCGATGTTGTCGAAGGCGACTAGTTGCGTCCCGGAGGTTTCAGCCAACGTATCGGAATCACAACTGATTGTGGCGTGTCTGTTGTCGATGATAATGACCCCATCGTCCACGAGGGCGATGGGCTCCAGGTGGCTGACTTGAGAGCGACAATGCGCAGTGCCTCCGGAGTGTAGCCCCTTCGCGGAGGAGCCCTCCGATTCCCTTTTGCAGAAGGTGGTAATAGTAGTGGAGGTGCAACCCGTAACGGCCCACACCTGGCTTCCGCAATGGGCTTCGACGTTGTCCGTAAGTTGTTGTGCTCCACCGATGTGCTCAACCGGGAACAGCGTGACCTTCTTACAAGCTTTACTTACTCTAGGGTACCCCCCACTGGTGACCCCAGTGAATTGTTTAGTGATAATCTTTTCTATGTCAGCATGGTCAAGTTGGCTTTGGTCCTAACTCTGTAATAAGAATTATATTTCTAGCTAATAGTGTTTCGTCAACCCGAAATAAGTACCTCTCTGGCTTTGTTTAAGACGCTCGCCTCGTCTGCCGTGTGAACCATAAGGCAGACGAATACCGTAAGAAGCATTCAAATTTCCCTTACTATAAAACGGCAACGTGCTGTCAAAAAGCTGCATTTAAATATCCCTAACTTCTTCTTCTAATAAGTCCTTTTGGAACTTTGTTTTGTTCCCTTTAGGTAATGGACCTAAATGCCAGCCTGTGCTGGCATTTCTTGGAAAATATCCCATCCCTTTGGGTATATTTTAGCAAAGACTTAACCCATATCAGAGATCAAAGCCATTTTTTGTTCTTTCTGCTTTGGTACCTTGGGCCGTACCCCATGCGCATATTTATTTTTTAACCGTTGTGTTCTTTGTGTTGTGTAACAAAATATACGCGCATAAGATGTATGTTTGTATGTATGTGTGTGGCATATGTATGTAAAACTGTGGCTATGATCGATTCAAGAGTCTTCGGTGGTCTCCATAATGCGAGCAACGATGGGAATATCCTCGGGCCTTGTCCAACTGCAGGTGCTCGAATCGCTCAGCACTTCCCGAAGATAGCTGTTGCTAAAATTTTGCCAATTGCGCGTCTTGACGAAGTCGTTGAACAGCGTCTCCCTGGTGGGTAGATTCGACTCGACGAAGAAGCGCTTTCGCTGCCAAAAGTTGCCAGGATTCTGAGCCGGCTCGAACAGCCAGAAGCGCGGAATGACCAAACACTGCACGTGGGTGCGGGTCATTATGTTGCGGTGTTGCATCTTCTCACCCAGCCCGAAGATGGCTCCGAATGTCAGCGATGCCACGTCTATGAAGTGCGTCTCGTATTGTGGCTTTGATCCCATATCCGCCCCCGACTCCTTGCCCGAAAGCGGCTCCGGCGACTCCGATGCCGACGAGGCGGTGAATATCTCCGAGCCTTCGGTCTCGCTCTCCACCTCTGCCTCATCGCTGCTGGGCGTGCGGCTGCTCTCATCGGATGACGACTCCCAGCTGGAGTACACTGGCGACTGCAGCTCGTCGCTGTCCTCATAGCCCTCACCCATCACATAGGACTCGTAGTCGTCGATGGGTCCCTTGAAGAATGTGTAGCGTGTTTTCCGCAGCACTTTTCGCACAACCTCCACCGATGAAGGGAATCGCCTTCGTCGCATCTTGGCGCAGGCTTGCTGGATTTCCAGCAGACCCATTTTACGCATCTATCGAGGAGAATATAAGGACCAAGTTACAGGTTACTACCCAGCCCCCCCCCCCCCCCCCCCCCCCCCCCCCCCTTTTTTTTTTTTTTTTTTTTTTTTTTTTCCACAAAAGGGAGGAGATGTAGATGTGTAATAAAAATAATTTTT